TAGCATGATTAATCTAAATATAAACTTTGCTATATATTTCAATATTCTTTACCTGCAATAGATGAGTTCTCAATTTTGTGATATGCCGTTCATGCAAATGAACTTTTAAATCGAACTTAATGTAAGCAGGCTTCAATTAAACACAGAATATGTTAAAATGTGATGTCTCTTTCGAATGCCAAGAAACGACGAACAAGATTGACGAACGATGGAACTGATAAAAACTTAGAAATCCTTTATCATACGAGAGGCTATTATGAAACGATGACAGCATAACTCATAGCAGCGTACAAACTTTAACCTCGGGAACATAACGTGACCATTAGATAAACTGAGGTGAACAATCAAGGAATCCAACAGTCAGAAAATACCTTTTTGGCACAGAACCACTGGGGCTGGAAACGATGGTATACCGTTATAAGTACAAGGAGAGTCGATCCAATTTTTTTGTCGATCTTTTTTGACGCGTATAAAGACACATTTTTCGTGAAGGTAGTTTGGTTCTCCCTGCGCCCATGCTGAGAACCGGCCCGCTAATGGAGTATCGTCCACCCAGTAAAACTTATCGTTTATTTTTCTGTTCAGTCCAATCCATGCACGAGGATCTCTCCCGTTTGGTTGGCTCATTATAAGGCGAAATATGAAGTTGTTCTCATCGGCAGATTTGATTATCGGCGGATGTGCCCGGTGATTTTGACAAAACGTGAGTGCATCGTTCCATCTTGGCGTGGGAGTGTTATGAATAAGGTAGCATGAATTCTCATGACGAAACCAACCATGCGGGCAATCCTATTGGTCAGTAGAAGTTGACAAAAAATCAGATCATGTCATTTCCAAAATATTATCATAACAATAAACAATAAAGGGCTGTACGTGACATCTAATGATCTGAACAAACTATCTTCGAGTGATATGCTAGTTTAAATGACAAATAATTTTTTTAATACCTATGATAAAAAGAAGTGGAGGGGAAATGTTATTTCCACCGATGGGCCGAATGATCCCATCCTTGGGCAATTTTCGAAATAAAAAATCGCACACAGGCCATTAACGACGTTACGCAGGTCAAATATTGAAAACTGGCTGCAAACAAGCTACACTCTTTACTGCCTGCTTTCAGCAGTTTGAAAACTCAGATTAAAATATTTGTTACAACCTGGTACAATAGATTG